ACATTCCTGCATACAAAAAAAATGAACTTTTAATTGAATTCACCAAATTCATATGTATAGTTTGAGACTCACTCTAGTGCTCTAGAGTCTAAAGTTCACAGAACTGAACATTAAAGATACAGCAGTGAACTGAATACACGAATACAAGTTTTTTTTTGCTAACTACTGTAGCACAGTCTTTTTGCTTATAAGTTTAGTGGTGCTAGGATACATAATGAACAGGAAAGAAAACCGAAAAGTTAATAAAAGCTAATTAATTATAATGCTAATAATATATTCAATTCCTACTTTTTTCTCAGTTCTACATGCAGTATTGAGATACTAAGGCCTGAACAAGTAGGCCTCAAACCAAAGTTGACCTCAAGATGACTCTCACAACCAAACATTGGGGATCATCAGTATCTGATCATTAGCAAAATATGCATCTTGGGCAAAATGCCCAAGAGATGTAGCTTAGATAAAGTGTCATGAGTATATATTAACCTTTCCTTGTTTAGAAGCATAGTGTCAAGGCCTTACTGGTACACAAACTTCTTTGGTTCCTCCTTAGGACCCGGCCAGGCTTGAGGTAGATAATGAAAGTAGATGTTTCCGCCTAATTGTCACATAAACATGTTTACTTGACAATACAATAGCTGAACCCTCTTTTAGCAAAGTTAGAGAACTCATCTACAAGTGGACACACTATGTAGGACTTTGCAATTACTAGGAAAGGCTCTCCAAGTCCTCACTGCAACAGGATCTCCCTAGCAAGAGTGCAGTTGGATTATGGTAAAATGTTATGACAACTGATGATGTATCCTTCCTGATCACCATTGCTATCCTCATGAAATAGTGCTTAGGTGCATTGCCTTGCTCTCTTTTATTCTTCTTGTATCATCTCACTTCTTATCTCGTTGCTTTAAACTTAAGAAAAGATAAATATACTTCTTTATCTTGGTCTCTGTGACCTTTGTGCTGACCCTGTCCACTGGCAAAACAAGTATATAAGGCAAGTATACAACAAGTATATAAGCATTTAAGTATATAATTCCTTCAGTAATAAAAAATCACTAAAGGAATGCATAATTTATTTTAAAATATTTATGTGTTACTGCTAGAATCCACCTGGATCTCTACACAGTTTCATCTGCTAGAAACAGAAAATGCTGTGTGACTACCCAGCTACAGTATTTACCCAAATTCCCATAAACTAATTTAGTAGTTTTTGTAAATGAAAACACCAACTATTTCAGTTGAAAGCAGTAAATAAAGTTCATTTATTTCAATCATTTAAGACTTTGGAATTATTTTAATATTGCTTTGCATAGCTTAACTTTAATATTTATTAAGCTTCTCTTCTTGCTTTTTGCCTGCAATTTAATAAAAAAATAATTTCAACTAGTCATGTAAAACATAGCATTCAGAAATTTCCTTTGTGGAACAGAAGGCACCAAACTTCTTGCATACGAAGAAAAATCTGCAATTCCACATTATGAATACAAATAAGACAAAACATGGCCTTTATGAATGGTTTCACTACTTCAAAGTAAAATTAAGAAGCATGGGAACTTAGTACAATCCAATATCAATATTGATTTTGTTTTCAGATACTGCTTTCCTGTTATTTTACAATTTGTTTTCAAGTTTGTTCCTGGTTTGTAAATCAATTCTTATTCCTGTTAATCAGGTGACTTGGATTGTCTCCCTGTAGTATGTCCTACTCTACATTTCCATGAACTGTTGCATATTTTTTAGACTGCACTTTGCTTTCTTTACATCTTGCATCATTGAAAGGAGTCAGAATGTAAACAAAATGCTATGGCGAAGGTGTTGTCCAAGCATTACTTTACACAGGAAGCTAACAAGCTTCTTTTATTCTTCTAACCACAGACTTGGAATACTTATAACGTATCTACAGAATTTAAATCAATCTTGTAATTAATTGCATTGCACGTGGGAGCAAACAACAGATGTGAAAATTCCTTGAAACTGCTTGCCAAAGTCAGCACTTTGGAACAAAGTTATGCTTCTGTTCACTTAATTCATTACTCCAATACTAAAACAAAAAGTGCTCACAGAATGAGCTAAAGTGTCAAATTAAGACCACATAAGAAGCCTTTTCTTATATTCATAGAAAAGTACCACACTAATCAAATTTTTAATCAAAAATTTGTATTAAAAAAATGTATTACAAAAGTAATACAGTTGTACAGGTCTGAGGTAAGTCACCTGCTGTGTCTTTATCTCATAGTCCATGGATGTCAGTTCGGGAGTTGTAATAAAAGGTTATAGTTTACATCCTATTAAACTCCTTGCCATGTTCTCCTAGTAATACGTATACCTATTACATATAGGTATAAAAGGCCTACATACCAACATATAAGTATATACTACTACATCAGCATTTTGCATAACAGACTGAGGAAAAAAGAAACTAACAGCTATTACACCTAGTACCAGGGAACCCTTTCAGATACATTCAATTTGAAAACAAACACCAGAATTTTTAGAAACAATGCAAAAACTGGAAGAGCATTCTCCATTCAATTAGTAACATATGCACAAGGGTCTGAATGGCTGGCCTATGTGATTTACTGCATCTTGGGGGACTCAAAACACTGGAGTCTGTCATAGTTCTCACCATTTTCACAGCAGTCAGAAATGCAAGTCCTGAGGTTATAGGATTATGAGTTTCAAACCACAAAAGACAACATTAGCAAATGAGTTAGTAAATCTTGAGCTTATGTAAGAAAAGACAAATGTGGATGCTCACAGAAAAGTTCTTCTTTATCATTTTTAACCAAAGTGCTTCCCTCTATATCCAAGTCTCATTAATATATGAGGCACTCAATACTGTGTTATATCTATGCACTGGATATAAACTAGAAATAACATTTATTTTTATGATAATTTAAAGTGAAAGTCGTGGCTTGTCATTCAATCCTACTTTAGTGCCTGCCTTCTTTTTTCATCTGTGTTAGAATTCACTGCCCTCTACTCATTTCTGCCTTACTCTAGCAAGACAGTAAATCATAGTTTTGCTTTCAGGACTTCTGTTCAAACAATGACCTACCAATACTACAGAGTCAAACAAAATTTCAGAAAATTAATAAAGATATTTTCTGAACCTAGCATGGGTGTACCTCTGATGAAAAAATAATGTCTGGTTATTGGCTGTAGCAAGTATATTAAAATTTGACTTGGAAAAGTTCTGTAAGGTATCATGAAGGTTTATATAAACCTCTACAAATCTGATAGCTTTTGAAGATTTCTTTCACCAGATATAGCAGTATTATTCTGTATTTCAGCTTTGAAGAACACTTGGGAACAGTAGTAGTTACAAAGTAATTACAAAATAATAATGGGTCAAATTTCCACAAAACATCCTTCATAACTTAGATATGTAGATTCTCACAGCAACATACACATTTTTCTAGTAAAAAATTCTTCCTTGAAAATGCAACAAATAAAAGAAAACTGAAGTATATATATTGAGCTACTGCCAAATTAGTGCTATTAAAAAAACCTGGGATTATATTCGGAGTATTAAAAGATCATAATGAGATCACATTGTCTACTTTTCATTTATTTTCTCAAATGATACATTACCAATTGGATTTTCATTTTCTGTTTTAGTTTGCAATGTCCTTTAATCTTTAAAGGTGAAGAACTGATGACATTCCCCACTTGATTTAGACATTTTGGCTTGAATGCATAGTAAATAGTAACACTATCCTTGCCTTGGGCATTTTACCTTTATGATATTGTTGCTTAATTTTTCATTTCCCCCCTCTTAATGTTTATCTCAAATGAGGTCTAAGAGCAGTGGAGCCAGACTCCGCCCCTTCTAGTCACACAGCTGACCGTGCTCTCAGGGCTGACCGGGTGCTTTCCCCAGGTGCTCAATCAGTGGTTCAGGTCATTACGCAACAGTTCCCATACAATACTGCATTTACCGTTATAAAAATATAAAGTATCTTACGCTATCACAAAATAAGATGAAGTTTCTGGATAAGAATTTGCTCTTTTCTTAAAGTGCTTAACCACTGCTAACCAGGTACAGATATTGTAGTAGCCTTGCTTGAAGGATTCTAAAACTTATTTTCAAAGCAATGATGAAAGGTATGCTACTTTTGTAAAGGCATAGCTGGAACTCTCTAAATAATTCAAGGAAAAAAAAAAATACGAAAGCTACCAGTTTTCACTAAGCTATTTTAAAAAATTCTTTCCACAGGCTGTTTTTTAGTGTAGTTAATAAAGCTTTTTTTTTTTTTTTTTTTTTTAAACTCTGACAGGTACATGGCCTTTGATCAAGGCCTATTTATCATATCTCTTATATAAAATAAAAAAGCTACCATGTGTAAGGATTTGAAGATAAAAATATCCTCCCATCTGATCTTAAATACAGTAATTTTATAGATATTATGCCAGAAAAGCTAACTGTCCTCAGACAGGAAATTTTTTATTGAATAGAAATATGTAGCAATTGAGTAATAAAGGAAAAAACAATTATTGCAATAACTTGATATTCAAGAACTCTATGAAACAAGTGGAAATGCTGTTCCTACTAGATAAATAAAAAACAATTTTGTTTCTTTGAAGATGGTATTTTGTTTCTCTTATTTGTGAAAGCTTCAGAAGGACAAGAAAGATTGACAGCAATCAGAAAATGGAATAAGGGCAAGGAGCTCTAACTGTGGGTGTAGGTGGAAAGAAAACGGAGGTCTCCACTCCTGAAGATAGCAGAAATCTAAGAAATTAAGGACAGATTAATTGTTATAGAATTTCCTAAAGAAAAAAGTAATAAACTAGCTAATTTATTCATTTTATTATTCTGCCTTTTGATTTGCAAAACCCTAAAATTCTATAAATTGACATGTAGAACTATGTTATACTACAAGAAACTGTTAGACAAATTTAAAGATATTACTCCTGATTCTGTTTTTTCGTGAATGTCAAGACAGATTTCAAGATTTTTCACTCCAGGAAATAAAACCCTTTAGCCTCTGGTAACTCACCCTTTTCTGCTCCTTAATATATTCCATTAGTTCCTCTCTTGTCCTTTTAACAGCTTCTTCGATTGCCTTTTCACTTCGTTTTTGCTCCTCCATTAACGCTTTCTTGATAATTTCCTTTGTAAAATGAAAACGTTTAGTGTAAGTATTAAAAATATTTCATAAATGTAACACATCTCACCCTTTTCCTTCCTAGAAGTTTATCATGATCATATTCTGCCCCAAATTAGCATGACCCTAAATCAAATCTGATTTGGTAATAGAAGTACACTGTACTAAGAAAGCCAGGTTCAAATTAAAACACCTCTATCACCTTAACAACATAAGTAATTCGCCCAGGAAACATCTTTCTGAACCAAACAGACTGTCCTAATGCTTAAGTTTCAGCATCCAAATACATAACAATATTAATTAGCTAAGATTTCCATTTTCAAAATTCAGGAACATGAGGTGACAAAAAAGATTCCTGAAACATACAAAAGATTACGTAATAGCCAGTCAAAATAATCAGTGTATGTTAAATGATTTAGATGAAGAAAGAGGGGAAAGGAAAAAGGGAAATAGTGGATTATTTATTTACTTATTTATTTTTAGGACTAATCAGAAGACATCACTGGATTTACCATGAACTGTCTTCATCTCCATCTTCATTCTGGATATTCAAAAGCAGATGCAGCAAAAATAGTAGCAGTGTGCCTTCAGAATGAAGGAGGAGTGGAATGTACTTCTGTTGCTTAATATCACTAGATCTAAGCTTGTTTACCACATACACATTTAGCATGAATACTAAGATTTAATCAAAATTTAATAGCATTTTTTTTTCTTTTGAAGAACACAAAGATATCATATAGCTGATTAGAAATACTACTTTTTTTTTTTTGTGAGAATTTACAGTCCTAGAAATATAGGCATAAAAATTGGCTAAAAACCATGAAAACTGTTTCAAATACTCACAGCAATTACAAAAAAGTATCATCGCACTATTTCCTTCTATGAGCCAAAATTCATATTCCCTGTTACTGCGCCACAGCCATGCATTACAGATCCTTTAAGGCAACTAAGAATCCAGTACGTAATAAAGTAATTGATTATGAAAAAAGATGACTACTGAGGCAATGCTGCAGTACATGGGAAAGAAGAATCTTGATTTCCTTCCTTCACAAAACTAAAAGCAGTGCAGCTAAGGAAAATACTCTGGGGAAAAAAAAAAACAACAATGGTTCAACACACCGTTTTGGTGTATTTATTTATGGATATGTGCAGATTTTTCACTCTGTTTTTTTTTTAAGTTTTAAATACATTTATTTTTAAAATGAAAAATAAGTGCTCAGGAACCATCTTCTTCCTCACTACTGTTTACTGTTTAGACATAGCACTACATAATTAGTAGGTGCTGAAAAGGTTTGTCTGTCCATAAGTTTGCTTGAGTGCAGAATAATGCTGACATTTTATGATACATATCTGAAGTAGTGGAGGTTGGATTTTTTGTTATTTCCTTTTTTGCCAGAACTCTACTGACCAAGGACTACTGATCTAAATGGTGTTCAAAGACCTTTTATTATATGCTACATCAACAGATACGATCCATTATCAAATAAATATTATACCAGAATAGTGCCTACTAAGCAACACGTCTTGTAGACAGAAAGTAAAACTAAAAACAAAAAATCCACATTTTTCATCAATTAAAAAAAAAAAATCAACAATGGAATTTTTTAAAGATTTAATTATAAGCAGACATTCAGGCTTTTGTGAAAATAAGTATTCATTGTTACATAATCGTCAGGCTTAAAAGAAGACAATTAACTTTACTGCAGAACTTTGAGTATTCAAATAAAAATATTCAGTTAAAATATGATATTTATAAAAGGATTATGATTAGCATAAGGACAAATCCATAATTTCACAAGTGTTTGGGAGCTCAGATGACAACCATTTTGTTGCCTTGTTTAATGGTTTAAGGAACATTTGTCAAACTGAGAAGTGACACCATTTTTAAATACAGAATCTCAGAACACTAACATGCATTCTTAGTGCTTTATTATTCTTCGAATAGAATATTTTTGCAGGAACTCAGTTGTACTGAATGCATACACTCCACAGAACAGGTGGAAGGCTAAGGCTTCAGAGGTATCAGATATTTACAAAATTACATAATCCATCTACGCACATCAGAGTGAATTTACCATATAGTTTTAGTGTACAAAATGAATAATATCACTGGATTGGACTAATTGGACTAGATCTTTGAAACTCTTCAGTTGAAGAGTTTCAAGTGAAAAAACTACTATTTCTTACCTCTAGCAATTTATGTCATTTCAAACAAATGTTAATTCAGATTACCAAAGAAAAATCCTGAGACAAAGGCCTCTTTCATTTATGAACTCTAGCAAGACTAGCAGAAAAAGTAGCAGAAAGTTACACATTATAGAAATATGCTGTTCTCATATTCTCATGCCAGCTAAATTAGTCAAAAGTTTCCCAAATACTTTGTTTCATATTAGAATGGAAAACAATGAATTTATTTACTCAATTAAATTCCTAAAGGCAAATTACAAAACTGATACGGTGCCATATATTAAAGCACAGAAAATCCTGTATTAATAAAATGTTTAAAAACAACAAACATATAAATTTTCCTTGAGATCATGCTACTTGATACTTAAAACAAAAGCACTACATGAATAAAGATTCAAATAAAAATACAATCAAATTCCAAGGTTCTACTAAAAATTACTACTAAACGAAACCTACTAGCAATACATTTATTATAGGCTATTTTAACAGTTAATACAAAAAATGAAACTTAAATGACTTGTCTTCCATTTACAACTTCACTTAATTAAGAACAAGCTCTGATGAATACGAAGTTTTGAATAAATACGAAAACAAAGTTGCATAAAGTCCTGTTGAAGTAATAAGCAGAGCATACTATAATTATACTGTCTGTTAGTTGCAGCTCATCACAGCAAACATACATAGGCCTCTGTAAAAACAGTAGGCTGCTCAAAGCTATCAGAAGAGAGATTTGCTGTTGGATTGACAAACAGAAAAAAATTCTTTTGTCCTTTCTGTTTAGTTTTCAGCAGTGGGCTTCAATAATGAAGTTTATTTATAGTTTATTTATTAATGAGAGATATTGAAAATTGGGAAAAAAAGCACATAGGTATTCAGCAAATATTCAACAAAGACAAACGGAGGATATATACTGTCATTAGCAGTATGTGCAATACAAATCCCATCCTTTTTGTAAGATGATGTCAGATAGTGGGCACCAAAGTTGGCAATACACCATTTCTTTCCTCTACCTCAGATGAATACAGCATATATGTTATATATATGTTGTTCAACACATTTGGAGGGGGAGAATTTAAGCATATATGAGTCAAATATGTTTGAAAATATTCGAACAACAAACAAATTATTTCAAACAAATATATTTGAAATAATTCAAGCAACATCCAATCACCTAGCTAACACATATTTTTGCCCTGCCCTTTGAGCTAATCACAGGTATTAGTCTGTCCTACACAATTTTCCACAAAAAGCTCAGTCCAGGCTCTCAAAGCCACCATCTTTCTTCTGTCTTTTTCTGTCAGTTATTACAGTAAATTATCAACATACACAATGATTATTCAAATTCTGACACTGCCTATTACTACTGTTCATCAAAGTCCTAACTGCATGTACATCTTCTCAGTGTATATACTTACTTTATACTCTTATTTGTCCTTTCCTATAATGCTACATCCATCTTCAAAGTTTTTTTTAAATTAGATTTTGATTGCCAAGGTGAAAATCGGCCTGTATTTCATCTTTAAAAGAGTACTGCACTATTTGAGGGTTTTAGTGTTATTTTAATTAATTCAAGAAAATTTGAAAGCCTGGTTTCTCAGAAAAAGGTGAGGGACAAATTGCATTTCAGGTGCGACTCGCTATTTCTTTCTTAATATCTACTCAGACACCACATGACTAATTATAGCCAAAAGCAGCTTTTCTACAGGAGGAATATATATGTATTACGTATCTATACATCAATTAGAAGACTAGAGTAGCTAATAAAAATTAATTTGATAAATCATATTCAAACCTATGTTTGAATATATATGACTTATATATCACAACTGCATCACCAGAGTGTGTACGTGTGCATCTCCGCAGAAAAACAAAAAGAAAAAAATGTAATTTATGTAACAGAGCATGCCAATCAATACTCAAACAAAACAACAACAACAACAAAAAAACAACAACCACCCACCTGGACTTGCAGAGATGGGATCAGGAAAGCCAAGGCGCAGGCAGAACTGAACTTGGCGAGGGACGTGAAAACCAATAGAAGACTTTCTACAGGTACATTGGCCAGAAGAGACAGGCCAAAGCGAGTGTACCTCCTTTGGTAAATGTAAAAGGAGAACTGGCTTCAATGGATGAAGAGAAGGCTGAAGTACTTAATGAGTTCTTTACCTCGGTCTTCAGTGGCAGCCAGGATTGCAGTATTTCTCACGTCCCTGAGCCCTGCACCCCTAAACCTCTAGGTGGGGACCAGGATGGTAAATCCTCCCCCTACTGTAAGACAGAGCAAGTCCAAGAGTGCCTCATGAGACTGAATGTGTACAAGTCTATGGGGTTGGATGGCGTGCATCCCAGGGTTCTGAAGGAGCTGGCTGAGGTGCTTGCTGAGCCACGCTCCATCATATTTGAAAAGTCGTGGCTGTCAGGTGAGGTCTTGGATGACTGGAGGAAGGGTCATGTCACTCCCATTTACAAGAAAGGGAGCAAGGAGGACCCTGGGAACTACAGGCCAGTGAGTCTCACCTCTGTGCCTAGGAAGATCATGGAACAGATCATCCTGGACAACATGCTTGATTACATGAGGAATGTGATCCAAGTGCATGATCCAAGACAGCCGGCACGGCTTCATCCCCATTGCTTGACCAATCTGGTGGCCTTCTATGATGGAGTGACAGCTTTGGTGGACAAGGGAAAGACAACTGATGTTATTTACCTGGACTTGAGCAAGGCCTTTGACATGGTCCCCCACCACATCCTTATCTCCAAATTGGAGGGATGTGGATTTGATGGGTGGACCACTCGATGGATAAGAAACTGGTTGAAAG